TGTGAAAACCAATAAGTTTGGTTGAAGCTGTTTATATAATTCGATACTTGAAAAATATCGAATTTCTGAAGACAATGCAGATACAATGATATCAATTTAACATTGATGACATGTCTGTGTTACAGTTCGTGAAAATATTTCAGAAAATAAAACATAATAAAGTTTCTTTGAAAAACAAAGGATAAGTTTATTTCAAATAATTTAATTACGTATTTAATAATTATTACTCATTTATTAAACGTAAAATATTTCAAATAACTTAGGATGATATCAAATAAGTGGTGCCACGTACTTCGTATTTAATTTATTGCAGGAGACCGTTCGAACTCGGAATCGTTCGAAGTCCGAATTAATTATTTCCATTAAAATAATTGAGAGCGAATTAATCTATTCCTAGACCCTAACCACTACCCTTCTCGATATACTTAAACAAGAAGTATGCATTATTTAAGATAAAAAATAACGCAATGAAATTTCATAATAATATTTGATAATAATTGCCAGGTAAGTTAAAGTTACAAAATTTATGAAAAATGCTTAAGAGTAGACAATACGTAAAAAGGTATCTTCTAACAACGTCTTTTGGCATGCGCGTGAGAGAATTAACAGTTTCACGGTGGATTCGAACTTTCATTTGAGGCTACTCGTCCACCGCGAAAGGTCGACTTAGCCATGGAACTGTTAATTTCCTCACGTGCGTGCTAAAAGACGTTGTTAGAAGATACCTTTTTACGTATTGTCTACTCTTAAGCATTTTTCTTGAATTTTGTAACTCTATGCATAATAATAAACTAAACTACAAAAACTATAAATATAATTCGTAAACATTGTATAATAAAATGAAAATTGCATTTACTGGTCACACATTTTCGACTCCGGCATCTTAAACACGGCGGTCAGATCACATAGAGATGTAATGCTTTTCACGCTTCGCACTAAGTGTTTTTTTCATCTCAATCGTCAGTATTACAACCTTGTTGATAGACAACGTCGCTTTCACACACTTCTGGGATGCCCTAGTTAATAAGTAAAGATTGTATTGGCTCGGACACAAATTTTTGCATGTTTTTAATAGCTGGTATTACTTAACACATGTTGTGATTTAATTATAACACTTGTGAAATTAAAGACGATATGGCTAATGCGAGATTGTATTTTCTGTTTAGAAGCTTATTTTAAACTCTTTACTTCACTTAGTGCGAAGCGTGACAATCAAGTCGAAATGTGTTCGGATAAAATGCATATGGGCAATATTATGCCTTATGAGTTTCTGAAAGGATAAAAGTGGTACAAACAGTAAAAAATGTTCGTAATGTGTATACGGAAGATGCTCCTAAACTTCGATAGAGAAAATTGTTCAATTACTTTAGTTTCTGAGCGTGTTAATAATACTGATAGGCTGTCAATGGAAAAACAAATCAGAATATAAATATTAATTGTTATTTCTATTTGTATAGTAATGAAGTGTACAGAATGTAATGTAATATTAATTATATTAAAAACTAATTTTAATATTGTAGTATCCAATAATAAGATATTCGGTCGAATTTCCATATAAGAAATTGCTTTAATAAATGCGGAAATTGGTTAAGTGGAAATGCGCCGGTAGTGAAACTACGGTTTGTTGTGACAATGTTTTATTTTGCACGAAAATATCCTTAAATTCGCACTCATAATTTAAAAAATAAATTATTATATTATATTTGTGTCTTATACAAAAAATTAAATAGAAATTTCTGTAATTTTTAGGAAATGGATAAAAACTGTACGATTGAAATTACAAGCATTCTTACTTATTTATGTTGAGAAATAGTCAATAATTTTTTATTTTTTCCTTTTTATTACAACTTTAAGCAATTAAAAATTTTGGTGGTAGGGATGAGTTTTATAAAAAAAAATTTAAATGATAATGACGAGTTAAATCGTCATTAAGTCCGACCCTACTCGATATATGACACAAGATCCTCCTTTATCTTTCCATCTTTTCGATCTTTAACCACCAAAATTTAATAACAAAAATCCCCAATACAGTACACAAACTTCTTTGCTAAATTTCAGAAATTGTAGACAAAATGCACCGGAATTATTACGCTTCAAAGAGGGTGAATGAAATCGTTCTCCCCACACATAACCATACATTTAGAAAAACACCTGAAATTTTCTTTGCATTTCTCGACGTTTCAAGGAGCCTCGAGTCTAAAAATGTAAAAATCATCTTCGTGGGTCATTTTTTGACAGACCTACTTTCTCTCTATTGTAATATAATATAATATTACATGCAAAAAAGTAAAAATAGTTAAAAAGAGAAGTTGTTTTTTACACGGAAGTTTCTCCGTTTTTAACAGCACTGTCATTACAAAAAATTTATTTATATAGGAAACATTTCTAAATGCTTATTTAATTAATTTACTAGTATGCTGCTCTGCGGCTGTTGAGCTCTTAACTCTTTTCCTCTAACCACTTCACAAAAGAATGTAAATAAGTTACTTTATTGAATACTGATACATTGTTCTACAGAAATTCTGAATTGACTTCAAAGTAACAAATCAAATTGCAAAAATTAATGTCCTCATTGTATCAAATCTGATTTGAAACAATGATGATCGCAAGATCCACAACCGTCCTCGATGGAGATTCGGCATTGACTTTTCTAGCGGTCCTTGAAAGTCTCTAATTTCATATAGAAACAAGCGAAACACTATTGATTCTAAGTATATTGGAAATGATGTCTGTTTCTCAGTAAACGGCTTGTACAACATAAGAACGGCCCTCTTTTTTCAAGCTTTCAAAAGTAATACAATACTCCGTTCTGATAGTTTGTTTCTCACTGGAAAGGCCTAGATTGATGGTATGTCGATTCAGAATGGTTTTTAGATGATCTTATAGAAAAAATATAACGTTACAATACGTGTTGAAGATCCACAGATACATTCTTTATACGTAGAAGAATGTATCTGTAGATCTACAGTGTAAACTATAAATAATCTCCAAAAACATACCTGTAAACCTTACTGGTACAGAAACTGCTGTCGAGCATGCCTAGGTCAATCGTTTTCAAATTATTACTGTTTTATATTAGATGTACACAAAACACAATAAAGTATGAATATTTCATTCAATGTCTACGTTTTACATTCATAAATGTTTGTCTATGGAAAGTCGTGGTATCGGGGCTGTCAAGTAATCGTTCCGACGTCAAAAGCTGTAATTGTGGTGGCAGCAATTGTTAGAGGCTATTGGCGCGGAAAGAGTAAATTAAATATAGTTTTGGTATGTGCCAATGCTATTTTTAATAGAACAATATTTCGGTTTTCAAACGCATACTTAGCAGCGCATTGCAGATTTATTTCGTTACATACAGTTTGAAGGAATTATTATCACATTATATACTTTAAAGCAACACTGAAAAGAATTGTCATGTGTAATCAACGCATCGCCAAGTGTGCATTTGATTTATTTTGTTTTCGTTAAGCATCACTTGGACTATCTGTCAGGGGGAATGCCTTCACGGGATCTTTTTAGCCCCTATTCAGGCATTACAGACATGGAGAAAACCCGGAAAACTCCACGTGGCCAATCCGTCTTGGCCACGTGGACCAATCCGTCATGGTCAATCCGTCTTGGCCATGCGCGAACCCACGACCGAACTGCCAGTGTTTAGGGAACGAAACCGCTTGGCATATTCGCTTGAAAACCGAAATATATATATATTTTTCATCGGTTTCTCATCGGTTTTATATACATATACAGTATATATATATAACCGATGAAAAACTGTCGATTTCGACAGAAAATAATGATTCCTTGGAACTATCTAGTCCAAGAGACTAATAAGTTCCGAGAAACCATCTGTCGGAATACTTTTGGATCAATTCAGTTCTAGTTCCAGAGGGAAAGAACTGGATTTTTCCCACATGATTTAATTAAGTTCAATATTGTGTTATTTAAAAATTCAAATGTTTGTCAAAACAAATAAAAAATAAAATAAAAATAATACACATAATAATAAGCACACTCGTAGCGGACATTTTGCGAAACGTAACTTTTTTGACTGAAGGAGAAAAAAAAGGATCTTTAAACAGAAATGAAAAATATCGATATTTCGGGAACGAATGGACGGATCTCTGTGAAATTTGATACATAGATCGAAAAATATTAGCAAATGACGACGATACTCATATTTTGTCCAGGTAATGCGTTTTTTTAAAACAAAATATGAATTCGGATAGATAAAAAGTGTTGTAATTCCTGTATAGTAAGGTTCACTTTGTTAAACCGTTCGTTCGTTCGTTCACTTACTTGACGGTTTGCCTCTACCGAACTTTATGACATTTATATCCACGCTCGTCAAATTTCATTAAGGATTAAGATTAGCACAGTTTTGAGTTGTCAGGATTCTGATCGATTAAAGTGTCATCATACAGTTCGTATGGATGCGGATATGAATCCGGACGGGTCGAAAAATACGAGGAATTTTCAGGGGTTGTATGTCAGTTCCCATTTCATTGTGGGCCTGAGCGAATCCACGACGGGATGATTAAAAGGCCCACAGTGCGGAAAGAATAATAATAAAACAATTCACAATTTTTTTTTATTTTTATGTTTGTCATTATCGAAAATATTTAAGAAAAATATCAATTTGTAAACATATATAATTTTTATTAATTACTTTTAAAATTTTAGCTATATGCTTAAAAAAGCATGAAAAACATTCCAAAATGTATTACCTACAAAAAAAATCAAACAACTTTTTAAATATTTAATAAATTTTGCATTATAATGATAAAAAAGAAGAAAAAGCAATACGTTATTTAATTAAACACGAACACGTTCTGATTTTTCTAAATAACCANTTCTGGTCCAAGCATTAAATTTGAATGGTAAATTTTGGGTTATCGTGTATTAAAGCCAATTAGACTGTTGGTATTTTCTTCAGTGGTTGAAACATATTTTATAGCTTTAGTTAGATTATTAAGCTAACCTAAATCAATTAATTTATAATAAGGCTATATACTCCCATTATTAATGACAAATTTCTAAGTATCTTACTTTCGTTTGCAGCTCTTCCAAATTAATTGCTGCTCCCAAAACTTGTTGCATATCAGGTGGATATTCACCATACTGAATGTTTTCTTCAAAATTAAAAAAAATGTACATATATTAATTTTGAAATAATGATTTTAAATACTTATTATAAACGCTTAATTAATTATTATTTTTAAAATTAAAACATTTGTAACTAACCAGTTCCAAATTGACTAGCCAATTGTTTTCTAGTTGGTATCTAAGATATAAATCAAAATATTAATTCGATTTTAAATTAGGTCAGAAAAAAAATTATACAAATTCTTAATTAAAAAGAAAATAATTTGATGTCACATAAAATTATTTACTTTTAAAATGCTCTTTATATCAGATATGTCATCCAGAATATTATAAAAATAGCGAATAATTTAATTTATTTACCATTCTAGTAATTGATCTCCGATGCGTTTTGGCATCGTTGCATTATGGCTACCATCGCTTATTACAACACTGAAAAATCCAAATTTTGTAAATTTAATGTAATATTTAATTTTAAAAATTAAATTATTAAGGTATTTTTTGATATATAAGAATAAATCTCACTTTCTCTCATTCGGTCTTAGTGGTCTATCGCAAGATATGCACCGTCTAATAAAATTAAAAATTAATTTTGATATATTATTTAGAAATTTCATTGATTTTAATTTTATAAAATTCTTTTTCAAAATTTACAGCTTAACGCCCGCAGCACTTGGTCCTTCTTCTACTGCTTCTTTCAATTGCTTCAATTTCGTAACAATCGTCTTCAGTCGTTCTTTCAGATTTTCTTTATAATTATCCAATTCCTTTCTTTCGAGTTTCTGGTTCACAAGTACAGTTAAATCTTGTACTGTTCTTTCCAATGTTTGCTCCTATCAAAATAATAGTAATTATTCTATAATAAAACTTCGCAATAACACTAATTCGGATTAATGCCATAGTTTCTTCTTCCGCGTTTTGGAATATGGGTACGCGATAAATTATACACAGCAAACTAAGTGTACGGCTGTATAAATGTAATTTCACTAATCTTATTTTTATGCTATGGATCCAAATAAATGAATGCAACTCTTTCCTCCTTTAATTAACGTTTTTTCTTCCCGAATTAGTACAGTTTTTGGAGGTGGGAATGAAACAATTAAAGTTTAAACAAATGAGTCGATTTTAGGTGTAAATTATTCCAATGCTTTCTAACAATTTTGATTTGTTTGCTGAAAAGAACACGTTAAAAGAACCCTACATTTTGGAGCAAAATGCCCGATTTTCCATTCAGGGAGATCCGATCTTCATTTGCACAATAATTGAAAAATCTACTTTAAAACATTATTATTTATTAACCTCGAAATAATGCGATGAGACATTTTACTCGATTGAACTGCTTTTATGGCTAGTTTCTATTGTACTTGAAAATGTCAATGGATTAATAGAAGAGTGTAATAAACAAACATTGTTAATTACGCTTATTATTTAATTTATTAAATGAAATTAATGAACTTACTTGACCAGAAATTTTAGCGATTATGTCGTTGAAACCTGAATTTATTTCTTCACAGGAAGTTAAATATTCCGATTTATTGACTTTTTCGTCTAGTTGTGTCTTATCGGCTTTCTGGAATGAAATTAATATATTTATTTTAAATATTACTCAAAATTTATTTTCTATATGGTACACTGTTGACCCCAGGATTTAGACGGCCGGATTGCCGAGCTTAATGTGGCAATCTACCTTTCTGGGAGACCCGGAATCGAATTCCGACGGTCGTAAAAACCCCAGGAGTTTTTCGTGGGTGGTTCTCGGGCCCCTCCTTCACCACCTAGCGCTCCATTAAGGGCCTGGCCGAACTCATAATGGACCTGTAAAAGAGGCCCTCTTAGTACCCACAAAGCGAAAAGAGTTTAAAAAAAGGGCTTTCTGAAATATCCGACCCAATACAGTAATTGGGAATTTCTGTTATTATGTGGAATGGTCGCTAGGCAGCATCTCCGCTTGAAAGTATGACGTTTCTGTCTCTCGATTTACCGTAATACACTGTAGACTGTTTGTATCACGTATCATATCTCATTTGAAGCTCACTTTATAGCTGACCCTGACATCCTCGAATGTAACAGGTTATTATAGAAATATACGAAGAATTTTTACCCGTTATATCAGCAGATAGATACGCTATAAGATAAATGTAATTTACGACACGCTATGTTTCATTTACTATATTTACTAATGAAGTAAACAATGTATTGTTTTTCTAAAGTACTTTTACATAACATATTCTTTTAAAGGAATTCTAAATAATATAATGTAAAAGAATTATTCTTACTTTTTCAAGTTCTTCTATCATTTCACTTCTGTCTGCTTTATAATTTCGAATTTCTTCCACATGAACTTGTATATCCTATATTTTGTTAAATTAAAATTTGATAAATATTAAAATAAAATGGTTTAATTATTTATAACAACTTTATAAATATATGAAATATTAAAAACGAATGAAAAATATACATTTATAATCGAAAGCTTTTTCAATTCTTTAAAAATTTCTTTCAATTGATCTTCAACATCTTGAAGATTTTTTCTACCCTGTAAAGTATTTAATAGTAATTTAAAAAATTAAATATTTAACCATTTATTGTAATATGATTTTCTTAATTAATAACCTCCTCCGTCATGTCGTCCTGAATTTTTGCAATTTCCGTAACGGTCTCTGTTAAATTATACAATTTTTTATTTAAAACATTTAACAATTCGTAAAAGTCTGACATTTTTTCTTTTGCTGTATCCATGTATAAAGAAAGATTTTCGATAATAGCTTCTGTTTCAGCCATTTTCTCTTCATTAGCGATTGCTTCTTCGGCTCTCATTCGCAGCATTTCTTTGTTAGATTCTGCAATTTGTTCTATCCGCTCTTCTACTGCGGTTACCTAATAAATTCGTAAAGTTAAGCTTTGTTATTTATACAGATGGTCCAGAACGGATTCACGTTTAATCTTTCTGGTCCAAGCATGAAATTTGAATGGTAAATTTTGGGTTATCGTGTATTAAAGCCAATTAGACTGTTGGTATTTTCTTCAGTGGTTGAAACATATTTTATAGCTTTAGTTAGATTATTAAGCTAACCTAAATCAATTAATTTATAATAAGGCTATATACTCCCATTATTAATGACAAATTTCTAAGTATCTTACTTTCGTTTGCAGCTCTTCCAAATTAATTGCTGCTCCCAAAACTTGTTGCATATCAGGTGGATATTCACCATACTGAATGTTTTCTTCAAAATTAAAAAAAATGTACATATATTAATTTTGAAATAATGATTTTAAATACTTATTATAAACGCTTAATTAATTATTATTTTTAAAATTAAAACATTTGTAACTAACCAGTTCCAAATTGACTAGCCAATTGTTTTCTAGTTGGTATCTAAGATATAAATCAAAATATTAATTCGATTTTAAATTAGGTCAGAAAAAAAATTATACAAATTCTTAATTAAAAAGAAAATAATTTGATGTCACATAAAATTATTTACTTTTAAAATGCTCTTTATATCAGATATGTCATCCAGAACTTCATGCATCTCATAATCTCCTTCGAGCTAAATCAAAAATATGAATATTTTTAATTAATTATGGTCTTGTTGACGATTTAATAAAATATTTAGAATAATTTTAATCAATTAATTATTTTATATTTTTTACCTTACTATTCAAATTTAATAATCGTTTGTCTATATCTTGCAATTGATTATTAATCTGTAAAACATATTTGCCATTCTCTTCCAATGTCATCTGGAATCCTTCTTTGGTTACACAAGATTCCATTTTAGTAATANCAGTCGACCCCCCTATAACACTGTTGATTTTTCCGTGTTATATGAATTCCATGTTGTACGAGTCACTTAGAATTTACAAATACGTGAGCCGTTCACAATATTTAAAATTTATTAAAATATTCAATGAATATTTTAAGTACATCTTTCGCTCTTCTTCTTTCTGTATCTCTTCTAAAATGTTCAAGATCTCTTGCTTGTTCATCAATTATGTCAACGATCTGAAAAAGTTTATATTTGTGTTAATATGTAAATTTGCTTACGGAAATTAATTTATAGGAAAATGATAAATTTACCTTCTCCAAACCACTTTCTAAAGCGGTTATTCTACTATTTACTGTTGTCGATTCCCAAAATTTAGCCATATCCTCTTGGAAAGCAGCGGGTCCTTTGAAAGAAGTATCAGATACAACACTACGACTGTCGATTAATTTAGTTTCTGAAGATTTTTCTGATAATTTAGTTTCTGAAGATTTTTCTGATAATTTAGTTTCTGCAGATTTTTCCGATAATTTAGTTTCTGCAGATTTCTTCGATTTAAATTCTTCAGAATCCATTGTAGACGGCTGAAACTCTTCACATTCTTCATCCTCTTCTTCTGCTGGTTTGATAGGCTCTTCTCCAATTGAAAGATTACTTATGTTTTCTGATTCTGGTACTTCTCCTTCAATATCTTCTATTTCTTCTAATTCGGTTAATAACTCTCTTTCAACCGATTCGGCAATGTCAGACGGACGTCTCGGTGCAGCTGGCATATCAAGTATTTGGGGTTTCATATCTGTAATGTTTAGTTTCGTGTAAAAGGATTGCAGCCCCATCTCCTTAATTAATATATGAAGAATAGTTCTCAAGATTCCAAAGTTTACAACTCCTATTATAGGAGTCTTTAATGCTAAATCTACTAACTCAGGAAGAGAGTACGTTTGAATAGTCATGATGCAAACTTTTCCTTGATCTTTAGTATTTAACAAAGAATAAAAGAATTGATTATTGAAGATTAAGTATTGTTCGGTATTTTTTTATTATGAACAAAGCAGTAAAAATATTAAAAACTAATATAACAAATCAAAATGTATAAAATTTAATGATATTCATCTATAAAGTTGATGTATTTAATACAGTCGACCCCCCTATAATTACGGTCCCTATAATTACGATTCCTATAAAACTACGAAAAAATATACGTATTTTGGAAATGTTGAGTCGGATTAGTGTAGAATCGATTAATTTTATGGAAGAAAACCTTTCAATCAGCCGTAGTCCGTAAACTTGACACGTGTCGGGCTGTGATTGGAACGACTTGTAAGAAATCGGTTTCCTAATAAATTGGAACGTATCTATATCTTATAGGGGGGTCGACTGTATAGTGAAGTGTGTGTTTTCTTAATAAATTATAAATATGATTAATTAGATTTTGGAAACAAAGCCGTCGTGAATCGAATCGTAATTTCCCACACGCTTAATACTATCAATTAAAGTTCTATCCCTGAAAAAAATCATTTCAACTATATTCTATAATACCAACGTAGGAAAAAAATGCAGTGCATAAATATAAAATTTTATATAATTATAGTAATTAGTCGTAAAAACGGGGAGTTTACAGAAAGCGGTCGTAAAGCGAAGGTTTATATAAATTAATTATACAGACTTTCGCTTTACCACCGTTATTAAAAAGCGAAACAAAATATATTTGTCGCGATTTCTCAGACAAAATTAAAAATAAAGTAATTACTTTCACTGTCGAAACTGTAATGAATGTTTTTATAGTTTTGCTTTATGTTACATTAAAACCAACTTCAATCGATTCTTCGCTGTAAAGTTGTTGGTACTGAAGAGAAGACAGCAATTTTATTTAAAGACGGATCAAATCTTTAATTTTTTTTTTGTAAATTACAATTTATATTTTTCTAGATTTTGTAGAAATTTAATTAAAATGCATTCATTTTTATGGCCTGAAGGTAAAATTCCTTATACGTATGATCCAGATGCGGGTAAGTGTGAGAAAACATTTTACAGTTATTTAATTATTTTAATTGATTATAATTAAATTTGAACGTAAATATGTTTTTTAAATATATAATTTAAATGTTAATAATATTTGCTGAGTTTTATGCTTACATTTATGTTGCAGTCTATGTTAATTAGTGGATCTGTAGAGCAATTATTAAATTAATTAATTAAACATTTAATGATATTTTTTAAAATAATAACAATAAATTACTAATAACTATTTAAGATTTAGATAACTACAAAAATATTATTGAAGAAGCCATGAAAACTCTATCTTATAAGACTAAATGTATTACTTTCCTACCATGGGAGGGTGAGAAGGATTACATTATGGTGACAACCGGCACGAGGTAAGTCACATGAAAATTTAATTATCACGAATTCAAGTTATTATTAATTATTTAATTAAATGAAATTTAAAAATTATTTTATTTTTATTTTATATAATTAAAACTTTAATTATAATTAAATGTGAAATTTTATAAATTATTATATTTATGTTTATAGTTATGAATATAAAACTTTTATTATTTATAATTTTAAAATCAATTAAAACTATAATTATAATTAATTTAGAATTTAATTTTGTTGTAGATGTTCCTCGTATATCGGACGTGCTGGCGGTAAACAAATATTGTCGTTAGATACAGATAAATGCGATTTAAGTAAATGTCTTCACGAATTATGTCACGCCATTGGATTAATCCACGAGCATCAAAGAATATTAAGAAATGATAATATTATAATATTCTGGGATAATATTCTAGATGGTAAGAATAAGACGAATTTTACTTAAATAATATACCGATGTCTCAAAAGTCAATTAACTACTGTAAAGACGTTTATTTATTGCCACATTGTAAGCCTGTCTCTGTGAAGGATCGAATCTGCATCTCATAGTTAATCGTGGTTATTATGGACTGTAGCATTGTTCTCCACGTTAGCCTATCTGACTCTAATGGACGAAACTGTGATAAAATATAGCCTTATTGTGTGCTTCCTTGATTTATTCAATGAATTATAATTGATAATATAATGTTTAAATAGCATTACAGTATTTTAAATTACAATTACATCTATTTTCATCTAGAGAGATGGTTCAGAGGCACACAACTCAGATATACAAAACTTTAAGAAATGTTTAAAAAATAAATAATAAATTAGAAATAGAAACAAACCTATTATTTACCTTAACAAAACAAACTACAATATATCGGAGTTTTGTACTCGGATAGAGTACATTGCGCAGGGTGGGCGGAAAGTAACTAGGCATTGAGAAATCGCCGAAATTTCTGTATTTCCAATTCAAAGACGATAAGAATTATTTTACATGTACCTTATTAAATAAAAATATGGATGCATATTTTAAAATTCAATATAGGCACTGGCGCCACTCGCCAACAACACGTACAGAAATTTCAGCGATTTCTCAATTCCAAAAATCCCTTCTAAATTTGAGTTAAATTCATTGTAGCTATCATTTTTATTTTTTTAAATCTAAAAACGATTCAAAATTATAAAAACCTAAATTTAGATAAACTTATTCTCAAAATTCTCGAGACAAACTTCAAGGTTACAGTTCAGGAAATTACTTTAATTCCTCGAATATTCTCTGTAAAAGCTTATTTACAAAAATTATGTAATTGGTTTTATAGCATATTTATTATTATTATTATATATATATTTTTTTTAACAGGTGAAGAGAAGCAATTTATCATAAGATGGGAATACGACGTGCATAACGACGAATTTGATTACAATTCAATTATGTTGTTCGAAGAACGATTCTTCTCGAAGCATTCCAGTCTTCCAACAATAAAAGCGAAAAATGGAAGAAAACTGATAACAAAAAAGTTTACACTTAGTTATTCAGATATTTCTAAAATTAGAAAAATGTATCTTGGTTCCGACTTTAATTAAAATGTAAAAAATGTTTAAATAAAGTCAACAAACAATCGGATTTTACTCATTAATTATAATTTAAAGAAGGATTTTGAACACAGAAATTCTTCTCATACGCGGGAAAACATAGAATTAATACATTAAAAATGTTTAAATATTTAAAATATTCTCAGATTATCAGTAAAATAATATTTTAAATTGTTAAAATCTAATTAAATATATTTGAAATTAATGCACTAATATTTAATTATAAGCATTTATTTATATAAGAGAGAAATAAATACAACACTTCTCGCAAGACCTTCGTTCAAAAAGGATTTTTGAAAAATTTTGGAGAATTTTCTGGAATTCTTCATAATTTTTCTTATATTACACATCTTGCACATAAAAGGCGAATCATCTTTAGCTGTTCATGTTAATGTCTGTGAAAAATGGCGAGAGTTAATGCAGTACCAGGAACAATCAGGACTGAACCTTACAGAAAGAAAGATTTATTGGAAGAAGATGGAGTGGTTTACAGGCTTCAATGTACGTGTGGAGTACCGTATTACTACGTTGGAGAAACGAAACGGAAACTAAAAGTGAGGATGTCGGAACACTTGGCAGCAGTACGAAATAAAATTAATACATCCCCGGTATTTTTGCATTG